TCCGAATTGTTAGTTATTTTTATATCAGCTTTTTTTGGTCTGAGTTTCTTTTCAAGATTCTTGCGTTTGAGTCTTTATTCCATCTTAGCGATAAGCGAGGTTGGACTAAGCTTAGAACCCAAATATATTTAGACCACATATACAGGCCGCTGGGTATTGTGGCTCACTACAGCTGCAGCACATCTTCCATGGTTGACCTCCTCTTGCAATAATTTATTCCTTACCCAAATGTATTTTGCGATTATAGAGTTGAACTGCTCCACACTATTGTTGACCTCATCATGAATTAAACTCACTGCATTCGTAATTAAAATGGTCGCATATGGCCCTTTATTGTCCATTATCAGCCTTGATAAAAAAAGGCGCTCAAGAACAATCACACCAACAACAATTCCAGAACACAATATCGACGAACAGTAACAAGGGGAGAAAAACACTAAATGATCACTTGCTGAGTACCAAAATAAGAAACGATTTACATTCTAGATCGCTAATCGAAATCCGACTCTGTTATTATAAAAATTTACCTTGGTATGCACCGGCAGTCATCCTCTCATCTTTTAAAGTAGCGTCGACGACCGTGTAGGCCCATCCCACCCTCGTTTCCTTTTCACCCCCCCGTTACCTCAGCAGATGGTGCTCGTGATTGTAGGAGCCCCGTTAACAATTTGAAATGAGTTTTTACATACAGTAACCAAAAAGTTTGACAAATCTAGATAAACGATAAGAGTAGTATACAAAAAACGTCAAGATTTTACATAGCAGTGGTCGAGAATATAAAAAATCGGTGTAATAACATTCTTATTTTTTTTAATTTTTGATCTTTTACTATTTCTTTTAGTATGCAACTTTTATATAGGTAATTTTTGGTATATCAACTCTTTTTGACGAGTCCTACAAACAGTTAAAACAAATGACTCAACTTTGAAAACATCATGGCAAATCTAAAAAATAAAAACATGAGGATTTCCGTTTAAAAATCTAAAGTGTAAAGTAATATCTTATTTTTGAATCACCCTGTATTGTACGGCTATAAATGAAAAGACGTCCCGCTTGAAATCAAAATTGACGTGTCCGAGCGTTTTTCCAAAAATATACCAGGAGTCACAAATGGGAGTGCGACCTTTTCGTTGGGCCACCCTGTATAGAATGAGTAGCGGGATGAAATTTAGGAATGCATGGATGTTAATACTGGAAGGTTTATAAACACTTTAAGCTACTATTTTGTCATGTCATTCCCCTTAAAAAAAAGTAAATAGTGTAAGATCACAGTAGAAGGCGTGGTTGACTGCGGATATAAGAAAATCTGCACTAAGATTGTATGTAATCGTTAATGAAACTGATCCTGATCATTTTGCATGCTATCGTCAATATAGATTTGTTTATAGAAAGGTAATGTCCGCTGCAAAAAATGCGTTACGACAGACTGTATAATGAGTCAAATAGCAAGAGTAAGATGACATGAAATATCATAAATAAACAAATTCGGCTTAAACAGGAACATAAACAGATCCAAGATTGCAACCATCTGATCCCAAAACTATGGCAGATAATTTCAATAATTTTTCTGCAAACGCTCCTCAGGGTGGAGCTATATCTGGAGTTCCAAGTCAAACTTGGGACCGTTACTTTTTCTAATTTTTATTGGATGCTTCATCAGTAGAAAGACTTGATTTTGCTGATGATTTAAAATTATATCGCACAATATCTTACGTCACTGTTAGCATGGAACTTCAGAGCCAGCTCGACCTGATTCAGAATTGGTGTAACGATAATAAAAAATTAACACTAAATGTAGATAAGTGTAAGGTGGTGAGTTTCACCATAAATTTTAGATATAATATTGATGGAAAGAACCTATTAGATTTACAGATGTTGGGGATTTAGGAGTTATTTTCGATTGCAAGTTGTCTTTTTATAAACATATGGAGAAGCATCAAGAGCATATGGGTTTTTGATGAGGAATTGTAGAAGTTTTGACAGTGTCAGCACTATTAAAATACTTCACTTCTCTTGCACTAGATCGAAACTTGAATATGCCAGCATTATATGGAATCCATATTATGAGGTGCATAAAATTTGTGTTGAACGAGTTCAGCAAAAATTTCTTAAATTTCTCGCCTTTAAGTCGTACGTCCCTTTTTTCGTTTCCTTTTCAACTACCTGTTTGCAGAAGTATTTTAAATAATTTTCATCTAATTACTTCATGATGGGTATAGAGAAGACTAAAAAACGTCGTTTTTCATTTTGTTCTGTCATAAAATGCATTTTTGTGCATTTTATTGCGGATTTTTCCTTCGATCGTAACTTGTTAACAAATATTAGTACAGCTCTGAAATTGTATGTGAATATTCCACTTTTATAGATGAATGAAAAAGGTGATTAATTTTGTTCTTATCGCTTTTTCTCTTAGAAAAATCTTTGCTTTTCTTGAAAACTCAACTTGCTGCAAGACGAGGCTTCAAGAAAATCGAAGATTTTTCGAAAAGCAAAAGTGATAAGAATAAAAGTAATCACCTGTTCCATTCTTCCACGAAAATGGAATATTCACACACAATTTCAGAGCTGTATTAATGTTTGTTAACAAGTTCCCATTGAAGAAAAAATGCACAATAAAATGCATTAAAATGCATTTTTTATGAAACAAATGAAAACATTGCTTTTTAAAATCTCTATAAACACCATGAAATTATCAGATGAAAAGGATTTAGAATACTGTTGCAAACAGGTAGTAAAAACATCTAAAAAGGGGAATCAATAATTATGAAATAAGTAGTAGATTTGAAATTTGCTTTAGAGCATAAAAGCACGGTTGTTATATTTTCATCAAAATGTTTAATACAAGTGTTTTAAACACTGTTTTTTATCGTTTGTGAATTACTCAAGTTATTTTGATAGTCTTTTAAATATGATTAAAATTGATTTTATTTTGCAAAACAAAGCTAAAAGGGCCATAGGTTAAAACACTTAGGTACTGAAAAATATACTTTATTTTTTATTATTTAATCAAACATGAAACTATGGAACTAACACCAGTGGAAAAAAAATATGTTTCTTAACGAACGAGTGAACTGAATAAACTGCATTGAACTCCAATACCAATACACTACCAGCAGCAGAATGATCATATAATATGACTTGGTATTCTCAAAAATAGTAATAACTCTTTCAAGGAACTTCATTAATGGTGCTAGATTATATAGGCAATAGATTTTTTTTTTTTTTTTTTAACTGTTTTAAACATGTATTAACAATATTTTTTAAACATGTCTTTTTTCAGCTAAATTTTATTGTTTTAAACAATAAAGAAACAGTTCTAAACCAAAAAAAAAACATGATTTTTGTTTTTTTTAAACCCTGCACAAAAGTCACTTTACGGCGACGTTTTTATTTAAATTGCTGTGATTTCATATTCATCTCGGCATAATGTGACATTTAAGCTAACTAGAGCTAAGACTAATACGTTATTTGAGCCTCCAGTCTATGCTATGTGTGATAAATTAAACTGTATCACCAGCCATTTTGACATGTGTTTCTGTACATTGAATGAGTTTATCAGAACAGCAAAGTGGTTATGGAACTAATTTTGAATTCTTGTTTTTGGTTTAAATATCTGCATCTCAGTTTAGGGTACTATTATTTCAATATATTATAATTATTCCTTTAGTTATTACATTATATTGTTTTATCAACGCATAATAACACACAAGGGCATGCAATTTGTTATGTATTATCATATAAAAATAAAGCCATTATTATTATTATTTATTATTATTATGATATATTGCGCCAAGTTAGATCTTTATCATGTAATTATAACTCCAAAAGTAAAAAGATATATAAAATCATGTTTTTGCGACCTATATCAGCAGAACAATAATTATAAAATATCATTACGAGTTAAAAAAGATTCTGTTCAGTTGGTGTAGGCCAGATTTGCAGCAAATTATCAATAGCGGCTTTAAATTATATAGACCCTTTGGCATTTTGGTTAATTTATCAATATCCACGGTAAAAAATTATAGACAGGTTTCCATTTTGAGTGCAAAATCTCGAAAAAGATATTTAACGAAATTGTGCAGTTTCTGATTCAGAAAAAATCGAGGAACTCAGTCTGCTATAATTCAAATCATCAAAGATTATAAGAGTCCCTTCCCACTTCAGTTGGCCGAACTATTGAAATCTTAGTTTTTTTCTTATCAAATACAAATAAAAATGTAGCAGGGTGTTATAGGTTTAAAATATTAACTATGAATATTTTGATAATATATAGTAGAAAACACCAACTTTATCACTCCCTAATCAAATTTGCAGCATAAAAATAACACAAACATGTTGCAATTACATAACAAATAAGTCTATAACGCATAGGTGGCTGTGAAAAATAAAAGCCACGACAATTGTTCACAGCTGTCAGAATACGTTTGAAATAGTTTTGGGTAGTTAAGGTTTTCAAAATGGGTAGAGGACAGGTTATTAGTGAGAAAATTCGGTTAAAATTGTAATAGTAGCATAATTAGCAAATCTGTATTTCAAAAGGGATTATTTATATTATATTATTAATAAATTGAAGAATGTAAGATTATAGAAAATGGATTAAAAATGTGTAAACAAATAATTATACAAAATTGACATTGTAGCATTAATGCTAAATAAATCTTCAACAAACAAACAAACAAACAAAGTGTGGTCAGTGGTCACTCACAATTTACCGGAACATTGAAAAATGAAATGCAACGAAAGCAACATGCAGATATTCATGACTATATACAAACAAATGATAAAAATACACGGTACATGCATTTATCTATCTATCAATATGTATATTGATGTTCTCAGTCAGAGCCTTGTCATTAAATGCACATTCAGATTATCAAAATGGTAATACCCAGCACCACTCAGAGTAGGTACATATTTTTTTAGATTTGAAGTTTAGCTTTAAATCCAAGGAACCCTATATTTAAAAACAATGGAAAATTTTATAAAAACACGTTTAAAACTATAATGTAACCACATTCTGTATTCAGTGGAAGATAAAAGCATGTTAGATAGCTGTATAAGATGACTGGTTTTGTTGATAATCATTATGTGACGAGCAGTATTTGGACAAAGTACTATCTACGCAATTAGAATGATAATGCGGCGTTATATTGATGGATTTTTAGAGAAATCATACCTATGAAAGAGATTGAAATTTCTTACCTTGTAGTTATCAAAACCTGTTAGGTGTTCTTCGGTAAGATACTCCTTCATTTTTAAGGGTTGAAAAGACGTTAAGCCACTCTATAAACTACTAATCTAATAACCAGAGATACTTTTCCACATTCTATTTGATTGAATACATTGAGCAAAACAGCAAAAACACTGTTAATAATATGTACAAGGACTAATCATTGTAGTAGCTATATTAGACTTGGTACTAATTGTGTGACTACTTATTTGTTTCCAGGCTCAACTGTTGTTTCACACACAAAAGATAAGTTAAAACTTGGTGCAACATAACCACAATTTCCGTACAACCACTATCGATCAGCTGTCAGTCTGTATGCAACCACAAATACAAACGTAGATGCAAGATGTATAGTGATCATTTTTGCCGACTGAGTTTCTGTTTTACAACGAACGAAGGAACCACGATGTACCCGTGTACTCCGTACTCCAAGAGATTATGTCATAAAAAAGTCGTCAAGTAGGTTGGCTCTGCACTTCCGACGCATCCCTGTTATCAGTTAAAACAGAAGTATTTACGGCACAAGTTAGCCCCTCCGAGAAAAAAGTTAGCTGCGAGCATGTATAAAAAGGAAATTAAACGGACCAACTTAGTCAAACGGTAAGTGCATTTGAAACAAGAAACCAATGGAATTATCATCAACACAGAATATTAGAACACAAATCCTTCCAATGCCGTCTCTGAAGTAGATGTTACATCACATCATAGCCAAACATTGATAGCTGAAGCATCATTACGTTTAAGCAACACGTGTGCAGCTACGGAACGAGCACACAACGTGTCCATCATAACATCTTGTACCCCTGCCGTATTACGTAACGTAAAATGTGACATTATAATAGATTGATTTTCTATGACACTATGCACTACACTACACTATGCCTGGGGCACAAGATGACATTCTGCCGATTTTTTTGACATTATATAGGTTTTTACGTAGTACCCCTGCAGGCGTGTCTGAAACATAAATAAACAAAGATGTTCGATTTGTATTTTTACTTACGTTTTTTTTTACCTGTAGCTTCGCCGCCACTGTACCAATTTGCGAAACCTACAAAGCTTTTTCATCATTGTCATAGTAGTAACTTGTGTAAAACTTCCGGTACAACGAAGTCAGAGACGCGTCGATTCGATTAAAAACTCTAAGAGCATTGATGTGTATATATGGCCTTAATAGTAAGATTATTAAAGCAATACTGAATATCATCGTATACCCTCTTACAAAGCTTATTAATATTTGTTTAAGATCAAGCACATTCCGTGCGTCTCTCGACTCAGAAAACACTGCTCACCATTACCATGCGTACTTCCATAGTAGAATGGCTTACGCTATTCTGGCATGGGGTCATTCTCTACACATGTCTGGAGTTTTTAGCCTAGACAGAATATGTGTTAGATACATTTCAAACTTGAGGTACAGGGGTCCTTGCAGCAATGAATTCATTAACTTGAATATGATGACATTGCCTTGTGTATACATCTATGCTTACCTCATGCATGTTAAAGCCCACTCTCACACAATTCCAGAAACAAAGAACATTTGTGTCCAAATCGTCATCGCCTTTCCAAAACTAGAAATGGTGTTAACTATCACGGGTTAAAATTTAAAATCTCTACATGTTGAACAATTTGGTAAAATTATTAAATGCTTCCTACTATCTGAAGCTTTTTTAACGTAGAAGACTTTCTTAACTTTTTTCAGCCTGGCATAATTAGTCTCTTTTATAATTTTTAGCAACTCTATTATTCAGCTATTTTTTAACTTTAATTTTATTCCTACCTTGTGTTTTATGTTTGTCTCTTTTATGTATTATTTGTTATTTTTACTTATTATTTTATGTTTTATATATTTTAGCTGACTTGTGCAAACACATTTCTGTGTAATAGCACCAATAAATTGTTGTTATTATATACGTCCAAGTTATATACGGACCAAGGATTAGCGGACAGACAGACTGACAGAAATGAGTGGTGTGGTTTTTTCTGATATAATATCTGATTACATACGAAAAAAATCCTTTTTGAAATTTGCGAAAGAATCAGAAAACAATCATCAACATTCATTTGTTCATTTTTGTGTGTATGCGCTGTCTCTTGGACTATATCTGCATTATCAAAGTCGGCCAAGGCAACTTTATACTTGCCACCACGAGCGAAATGCCTATGCCTATATGTTTTGTGGACACGCTACAACGTCGCGTGCTGCACAGCGGAACCTCATTCAAATAATAGATGAACAATCGGATATTACTGGTTGCCTATACGCCAAAGCCAATTTCACATTTGATCGCGCTGTCACACAAAAAAATGAGATATAGTCTATAGTAATACAAAATTATTCGGAAATAAATGCACTCATTGATATACATTGTTGAGGTATGTAGGTGGATTGATTTTTAGAATCTTCGCCTCATGAGTGAATGGGGGTCACCCTGTATGGGAACATGGTGGAAAAAGAGCATGCTATTGGACACCATCATTTCTTTTTTATTCAACGAATAATTTTTATTGTATTTTTGAGCGATTATCAACAAACCCAAATCGAAAAAAATCCTTCAAAAGCATTTTTCCATTTCAAGGTTTTTATTTTTCCATATTTTTACCTTTTATCTGTTTTAGTTGAGCTACCGTCCACTACGAATTTTTTTGGCGCTGCGCCTGTCAGATTTCATTCTTTACGTCCCAGACGCCGACAGGGAGTTTGATTTGAGAAAATGGCGTCCTTAAGCTTTGTGGTGGCATTACGTGCAGTGATATAAACATTAAGTAAATTTAGATGTTAATTTAAATATGTTTTATTGATGTAGGTGCATATTAGAAGTGTTAAAGTTTTTAGTGCTTCAAAGATGACCGCAAATATGTATCGCGTCGGAGGTTAGTGCATACCTGTTTTCCCCTAATTTTAATTAAAACCGGCTTTAAATACATAAAAGGAAGTTTTTCCTTTCAACATGATATGTGAACTGCAGCTGTCAAAGCACGTTTGATTCGGAAATCCAAAAATTTTGTGGTACATACGGTTTTCTCGGAGTTATTTGTTGATTTTGAGCTCGATAGGTGGTTTCATGAAAAATAAATAAAGTTTTGTTTACATTTTTCAGGGATATCTGGACCTTAATTGAAAATCATTAATAGATAACAATCCACTTTTCCTTTCGTTATTTTCGGGTGTAATTAGTTTGAAACAATCGGTGATCAAAAATGTTAATCGTGCAGGTTATCTGATACCGTTTTGCTCAAGCAAATTATCAGTTGGAACGATTTTTCAGATCGTATTTAGACAAATGCTTTTACTGATAGAACAATGACCAACGACATTGTTACCGAATTTTGGCTATAATAGAGTCGGATATATATTTAGGGGAGGTTTTCCTTTCCAGATTATGTATATTTCGAGACGTCTTCAACGTCACCGTATCAAATTCGGCGCATAGAAGAATTAAACAAAACCCCATCGGGTAACGTCGAAGCAAAGACAATGTGTTTTTATCGGAGACGAGACTTGCCAGGCCAGCTGATCCAACTAGCTGACAAACACCAATGTGAGTATCAATAAAAATCGCGCATTTCTCGATATCATCCAGTGGTTGCATCCCAGTTCTGCGGCGATCGCATCTCTCATCCATTCATAATTTCTCCGTGTGGCTTTTCACCCATTCTAAATGAGCGGGAGGGGGCAAATTCTTGATTAGTGGATCGATATGCCCCGACTGTACCTGTCTTGTCACCCGAGCGGCACGGGATGTGTTTCGCGAAATCATGCCGCAGCTGTACTCTATCCGAACGCGTCGCTATGACAACTACGAGAGATGCCCGTTCTTTACGCGCGACTGTACTTTTATAATTACACGCAAAAAGTGGACGCCATCGTTCGCTTTCTGTAGCTATTGTTTGTTCCCATACATGTATCGGATGCGATAATTTATTCGATACAGCGACTGCCGAAACCTATACTACAGGGTGGATCCGAAAAGTACCGACGACTATCGATTCGTTCTATCGATTAGGAGTACTATCGAATGAGATGAATATTTTTCCGAATCACGGCGAATTCATTCGATAGAGCGATCGCCGAAAAATAGATTTCAGGGCGACATCAAAATATGGAAAGAAAAAAAAATAATTTGTTTTAACTAGGTGGGCTTAATTTGGAGAATCAATTCAGGAATCACAACCTATAATCTCATTTGAATCAGTTTTTACTTATTTAAACTGTTTTTCATAGACAATAAATCCACGGATTCCGTCGAATTTCAAAAGTGTAAAACATGAATTTGACGTCAAATAAATCCATGTTCTTCGTGGATTTCTTCACGAATTTAGAACTTGTTCTAACTTTTGTGTCAAATTCCCGGTGCCAACCTTGTTTTCCTTTCCATTATATTGAACAACTTTTCACACTATTTCACGAGTAACCATCACACTTTGACGTCTACTGAGGTGAATAGCTGATCAACAAATGACATTTTTGTGTTACTCTGCAACATTGGCAATAATGGATTGGGTATAAATCCAGTAAGACTTGTTTGTAGCATTTTGTTTTTTGTATGCAAATGAACTTTTCTAAATAAAAGAGCTGTACAAAATGAATCTATAACGCACAAAAAACCAAAACAAAATACTGCTCTGACTACCTGATGTTGACAGATCCATCAGAATTATGTGTCTTGTGCCGATATGGGGAATTTTGAGATATTACTAGATGATTAGCTGTCATTTGACTGTGATGGATACTGGTGAAATAGGGTATCAACAATGTGGTTTCTGTTTATGAGATTCGTTTTAAAATCAAAACCACAGTACCTATAAAAAACTTAAATTGTTTCTAGCAAGAATTGTCAGGTTGGCAGCAAGGGAGTACCAGGGAGGGAGGGGGCAAGGGAGAGACAGCTTGTACATAGCTTGGCAAAAAATAAATTAAATGGAGTTAGAACATTTTCTGCGATAATTAAATTATTCAATGACAGGGTTCTCCACAAGCTGGATTAGTTGAAATCTATGTTGGATATAAACTGAAAACTCATCCTGTATGAGTATTTTGTTGCAGCAGTTACATTGGTGGAGATTTTGATCATTTTTGAAGATTTATTTTGCAAAGGCTTTAACTTTTGGCTACTACTTTATATTTATCCTGAATGAAATTTGAAAATGAACGATTTTTTGCAATAATCAATTAATTGTTGCAATCGACTATTTAAGGGTGTGAATGTACATGAAAAATTAATGTTAGTTAGCTTTATAAACTGTGGTCCAAAAATGTTTCCTTACAAAAACTCGAGGTGTTGAAGTTTTAGGAAAAAAATGTAAATTAATTAATATTTTCAGAACCGCTCGAGATATTTCACTGATATTTAGTACATAGTGAAAGTTAATAGAGTTGCCTCTTTTTACGGGTATTGACTTCGATATTTTTTAAGAAAAAAATGGTACGCCAGTGGTTTTGTGCCAGATAAAAATTATTTTTGAATTCCCCGTTCAATTTAAAACAAATGATATCTCTTGAATTGTTTTCCTTCAATGCGCCATTTTTGAGTAACAAAATAAAAACCGTTCTATTGTCCGAGAAAATTAATGTAATAATTGAAGAATGCAATTTAGCGATAAATATCTAGTTGCTCTGGAATATGTCACTGGCTTTTGACATCTGACAAGTCTCTGTTATTCAAATCTGTTCGCTGTGACATCTTTTCCATTGTTTAGTTTTTACAATCTTGTTAATAATGGTGACTTATTCAAATGCAGAAATGGCGGAAATGCATTACGTATATGGCTTTGCCGACGGTAATCGTAAGCAAGCCAAACGGATTTATCACCAGAGATATCCCGATCGTGCTTTGCCAGATAGTCGAACCTTTTCTAATATTCATCGTCGTCTTGTTGAAACTGGTTCTGTCCGGAAAGTAACATCTGAAGGTAGACCTTTAAGTGTGAGAACACCTGAAATTGAGGAAGCAGTGCTGCACGAAGTCGAAGAACATCCTGAAACGAGTACGAGGAAGATCGCTAGACACTTAAATATTTGCCATCAAATTGTTTGGAGAATTTTAGTGGACTTTTTGCTATATCCTTATCATATTTAGTACAGGCATTACTTCCCATTGATTTTCCAAGGCGTGTGACCTTTTGTCAGTGGTATCTTCAAAAAATTACACAAAATCCGCAATTTCAATCAATGATTCTGTTCACGGACGAAGCTAATTTTTCTCGAAATGCCATTCAGAATTTCCACAATATTCATTTGTGGGCAGAAGAAAATCCCTATGCCGTAACCGAAACCCATTTCCAACACCAATTTTCGGTTAACGCATGGGCAGGAATTATTGGCCCATTCTTCTTGCCGGGACGACTTGACGGACAGACTTACCTCAATTTTCTTCAACAGTTGCCTTTGCTGCTTGATGATGTTCCGTTAATACTAAGAAACAATATGTGGTACCTGCATGATGGTGCACCAGCGCATTTCAGTGTAGCGGTTCGTAATTATTTACAAACTGTTTATCCAAATCGTTGGATTGGCCGCGGTGGGGCCCAAGAATGGCGACCCAGGGTCCCCAGACCTCAACAGTTTAGATTTCTTTTTGTGGGGCTGTCTTAAGACACTAGTGTACACAGGTTCCATTAACACTGTAGAGGAATTAAGAGAAATGATAGTTGCAGCTTGTGATATAATAAAAAACACTCCAGGGATATTTGAACGAGTGCGCAATTCCATGAGAAGGAGGGCGGAAGCATGCATACTAAGTGAAGGGGGCCATTTTTAACAATTTTTGTAATCATTTCGTTGGTTTTAATGTTATGTTTATGTTGTAAAGTTGTTGTTGTTCATTACCCCTAACGTGTTTAATTTTTCCAGTTAAATTAATAATAATTTTGCAAGTTAGACAATAGAACGGTTTTTATTTTTTTAAAATATCGAAGTCAGTACCCGTACGGACGCGACTGTTGAAGCTAAAAATTATTGTTGCATTGAAAAATATGCAACTTTATTAACTTTCACTACATACTAAACATCAGTGAAATATCTGAAGCGGTTCTGATAATATTAATTAATTTCCATTTTTTTCCTAAAACTTCAGCACCCCGAGTTTTTGCAAGGAAACATTTTTGGACCATAGCTTATCAAACAAACTGACATTAATTTTTCATGTAGATCCATACCCTGTATAAATCCTTCTGTACAATTTCTTTTACAACAGAGTTCACATTTGGCGAGTTATCCAGATCAAAGAAGTTTTATTACATTTCTTGATAAGCAATTTCCCGATTTTTCATGCAGATTCCATTCCACATATCTTCGAACTGCACACCTCGTGTTGCTCGTGCCGTGTTTGGAGTTAAACAAAAGTGACTGATTAGAATTTGAAAAACGAGTTTTGCTAGATTTCACAATCTTTGAATCCTTCAAATAAACTCTTGACTACGTCTTAAAATATATGAACAAACAAAGTTTAACTTCTTTTTGATTATGTCTCATCTATGAACATTTTTTATTGCCTTAAGAATCATCAGAAATGGAAACAAAGACAGCCTAGCCTGGGGGAGATTTTTTATATATTATAAATATGTTTTTTCAACATGATGGCGCCCCTGCACATTTTGGGCGCAATGTTCGAAATTTGTTGAATGTCAATTTTCCAGATAGGTGGTTAGGCCGAGGAGGTCCTATAGCGTGGCCGCCACGTTCACCTGACCTAAATCCATTGGATTTCTATTTTTGGGGGTCATTAAAAGACCTAGTTTACTCGACTGAAGTAAATACTCAAGAAGATTTACTTCAAAGAATCCATCAGGCTGCAAATTAAATAAGAAGAAAAAGGTTTTCCACTTTTCGGGCTACGCAATCGTTAGTTCGTCGAGCGAGACTCTGTATCCAACAAAATGGGAATTTATTTGAACACTTATTGTAAAGCTAGTTTTAAGTATATCCAACTGTATGTCTTCTAACAAATTTCAATTTCGTTCGTAGAAAAAATTTATTTCTTTTGTTTTCGCCTAAATGTTAGCTATGTTGCATTAGAAATATGTATTTATGTAATATTTACCAATTATTAAATTATGTTTTTCGTTGCCATCGCTAATTATTCAACAATTTATTTAATTTCTAAGTACATTTTCTATCATGTGACAAATTTTTTAGTTTGATTTTATTCAAAAATGGCACAATTTATCGATATCCAATAATAGTACCTTTTTATGTAAAAAACCCTAAATTTTCAAATTCTAAAATTGAATTTCTAAAATAGAATCACCCAAAAATTTTGGGGCTAAAATAACCTGAGTCCGTCCCTGTTACATACGCTTCCAAACAAAACTGTCCAAAATTGTTAACATTTTTAAATACAGCATGAAAAACTAGGCTTGACTACCAAATTTTATGTCTTTATCTCAACACGTTTCGGAAATATTAAGGAAAAACCATCTTCAGGGGAGCCCCGTTAAAAGACCGTAGCGCCCTTAGGGGACGTTTGTCGACCTATGTTTATATAAACTTTTCTTCCTATTTTATGCTCTAGAAACCGCTGGTAAAATATTGCACACTTTT